GACTTAACCACCGTGCCACCTGCCGGCCTCCTTGTCCAATTTTAATCCCCCCAAAAGCAGCCCCTGCGACATGGACGTGGGTCTAGATAGTTAGTTTGAGAGGTGTCTCCGGAGGAACGAGGAAGGAAGTGAGAATGGAAGAGGCAAGGCCAGTTATAAGCAGATTACTGCTCTGAGCCACTGCCTGAAATTCCCAGGGGTGACCTGCCAGGCACCCCAGAGAGACCATGTGGATGGTGCCTCAGAGCGGCCCCTGCAGGAGCAGGAACTTGTCTGTTGATTCCAGTCACCCCCCCGGCCCAGGGCATTCACTCCCCCCCCTTTCTGGGAGGTGGGACGCTGTCAGCTTGCAGGAACTCACGTGCAGCTACAGGCAAGTTGGGGGATTGGGGCACCAGCAGTGTCTGCTACAACTCTACAGACGCATGGAGAGGGGCTAGCGGGTGGCGTGATGGTTAAGGGGCTGGACTCCCACAGGGCCAACCACGGTTTAAGTCCCGGCCCAGGCTGAAGACGAGCTGCCCGTGCTCGAGTCACAGGAACTGAGGCTGGCGGATGGAGCAACGATCTCGTCTCCATCTCCCCGGGACACACCCGGACGGAGCAACTACTTTCTTTTATCTCTCCATCTCCCTGAGACACACCTGGATGGAGCAACTATCTTCTCATCTCCATCTCCCCGGGACACACCCGGATGGAGCAACTACCTTCTCTTGTCTCCATGTCCCCCTGAGACACACCCGGACGGAGCAACGACCTTTTCTTGTCTCCATCTCCCTGGGATACACCCGTTGAACGGAACCTGTCATTTCAGATCTTCCGTTCTGGTCTCCTTTCAGTCCCCCCTGTGACTGGCTGACACGGGGAAGGAACACATGCAGCATGGACTGTGCACGGGCGAAGCCCTAAGCCCCAGGACCTTGGGATGACCGTATTTGGAGACAGGGCTTTAGAGAGGTGATTACGTGACCACAGGGTGGCCCAGGAGGGGTCTGCCGCAGTATGGCTGTACCCTCAGAGACCCAGAAATGTGCATACACCGAGGGCCATATGAGGACACGGGGCGGCCATCTGAGTGACACAGAGGGTGAGATGGAAATGACTATAGGAAATGCATGGACGAAGATCTGTCCCGCTTATTCCATGCAAAGTACCCGGGAGAGGCCATGAACATGAGTGGCATTAACTGCGATTTATGGGAGCTTTTGTTTACTAGCGAGAAGCCAGGTGCTATTATGAATAGAAGCAAATGTAAGACCGCAAGAACGACAGGAAGGAAAACAGCCTGTGCTTTTAAACCAGAGAGAGCTGGGTTCAAATCCTTGTTCCATACTTACTAGTTGTGTAACCTTGGGCAATTATTTTCCTCCTATGAAGCATGTGTGCTTGATAGAGAGACAGAGAGGAGGAGAAAGCATCTCCCATGGGGAGTGGTCACACTGCAATCCCTTTTCCATCTCTCCTTCCGTTCAGGATTTTAGGCACACGTATACACATGCCTGGTGTGTTTCTCAAGTTACCAGGTCTGGGGCTTGAACCATGTTGTAGGCCATGTGAGATCTGTCTGCCCCAAGCACCAGGCCCTGGAGCTGGCCCTAATTAATTTCTTTCTTACTCTCTCTCTCTCTCTTCCTGTTAAATAACAGAAATGGGGAGAGAGGTGCTTCGATGGTCTCACCACGTTTCGATCCTCTCTCCAGGCTCCAGCCAGCCAGGGGTACAGGCGAGCGCTACTGGGCCCATCTTGTTTAGCTTGGTCTAAAACTGTACCTGGGCCTCCCATGTGACCTGAGCCTTGCAGTGGGTGGGGGCTGCTGTTGGCGCCACTAAGGCCAGGCCTTCAGGCAATGAGTTTAGCTCAGTCCTCCGAGTCTCAGATGTCTACTGCCAAAATGGACTGAAGACATCGGCCTCTCAGGACTTCTGTGAAGCTCAGCTACCAGGCACGGAAGGGTCCTGGCACAGAAGGGGAGCCACGTCGTCACGATCATCGGTAAAGCATGTCTTGACGACGAAGCGTCTAGATAGGACACAAAGGTGTTCTGCTAGCCTTACTGCTACAGGGCAGTGCTCACCACCAGCCACTGGCGGCCAGGCTGTGCAGTAACTCAGCAAGTGTTTATGAAGGCGGCGACGAGCCTGCTGTGTGCTGAGGACACTGACACGATGCCGCTGGGAAGGACAGACCACAAGGTACCCACCCACCCAAGCAATAAGTAAAGGCCCTAGGGGCCAGCAGGTGGCACGGTGATTGGGGTGCTGGGCTCCCACGTGGCCAACTGCGGTTCAAGTCACAGACCTGGCAGCTTGCTTTCTCCCTCTGGTCAAATGAAATAATAATAATTCTTAAAACAAAACAAAACATTACAGGTCCTAAAGCAGAAGTTGGGAGCTCTGGGAAACCAGAGGAGGCAGAACGCCCCTGCTGGAGCCCAAAGGATCTAAAACACCCTTTGGACTCCAGACAGGCGTGGCCAAACGCCCACCCACAGCTCCATCTGGGTGTTCTGCATCCAGTCAGGCCTGCTTCCTCATGCCCCAAACCAATATCTGATTTTTCCCAGTCCTGTTGAGACAACGTCTTTTTTTTTTTTTTTTTAAATTTAAATTTTACTAGAGGGCTCACCAGAGAGAGAGGTGGGACGTGAGAAAGCAGTCCCTCATGGGGACGGGTCATGCTGCAACCCCTTTCCCATGTCTGTCATGGGGGACTCCTACTTTTGGGTTTGGGCACCCACGCACACGTACCTGGCGTGTTTCTCCAGCTGCCAGGTTCAGGATGGAACTGCATCCTTGGCCCCATGGAATCCAGCGACCTTAACCACCAGGTCACTCGCTGGCCTACGACGATGGCTGAAATCCCCTTTAAACTTGTCTATGCTGGGCCCCAATACACGTGAGACAATGAATATGCAGGCGCAGATTTTTCTCTACCAGGTTAAAATGCGATTCAGAACTGACCTTTTTGTCCTTGACTCAAGAGCAAAGGGAACACGGGTCCCTTCTAGTGAAACGTCAAGATGCTTCCATGGCCCTGGAAGCAGAGGCCAGAGGAGGCACAGCTAACCTGACGGCAGTGCCCAGGACGGCCTGGGCTGGGTACCACGCCCGGTGTGGCCACTGGTGACCTAGAGGAAGGGGAGGGAGGAGCTCCAGAGAGGTACGTGGGAGTGGAGGCCAATGGTGCCCGCGGGCCTAGCCGACCATGCTGAGCCAGGTGTTGGAGCTGTGCTCTTTAGATGAGAGGGCAGGGTGACAGTCCTCCGGGGTCAGGAGAGCCCCTGGCACACGTGTCCCAGCAGGTGCGCCAAGTCCTGTGCTGCTGCAGAGATGACTAAAGGAAAGCTCTGCCTCCGACTCTCACTCAGGACAGCGGAGGCAGGGCTCCTGGGCCTGGCACCTGCTTCTGGAAACTGTCCAAGGAGACGTCTCTGCCGGGGGGAGTCTGAGCCCTGGCCTTTCCTGCCAGTCCGTTACGCAAAGGCTTTTTTGGTAGCCAGGCAAATTCTTTCAAGCTCTAACCCCAGGGAGAAAGAAGAGAGAAACACCAAGGAGAGAAAGGATCTACGTCGGCCTTTATCCAGGGAACAGAGCGGAGAGCAAAGGGGGTGGGGGAGACGGGAAGCAAGAGGGAAGTAGGTGGTGATAAAGAAGGGATGGCAGCCAGGGGACTGCGTAAGAGAAAAGGGATGGCAGCCAGGGGACTGCGTAAGAGAAAAGGGGTTAGTGGGGCCTGGGGCTGGTGGCGGAGGGGCTGAGAGGAACAGGGAGCGACGGCAAGTAGGAAGGAGTTTCTTCTGTTCTGGAATTAGACGGTGGAGATGCTTACACCAATCTACGAACATAACCGGCCTCGGAAACCACACTTCACACTGGTCGACTGTATGGGATGTGAGTTGTAACTCAGTTAAGCGGTCGGTCTCCTTCTCCCTCTCCAAAGGAAGTGGGAGGTGAGAGGCAAGGGAGAGGAGGTGCACGCAATGAAGAATTGCAAGTCCGCGGGAACACCGGCTCCACTCACCTCGACCTTCAGGCCCGCCTGGAAACTGATGCCGTCCGGGATGGTCGTCTGGAACTCAGCGATGGTGTAATACTCTTCCTCCACTTGGGGCGGGACGGGCGGCTTCGGCAGGTTGAGACCTCGAGGCTGGCGGGATTAAACACAGCGCTGACCCCAGTGTAGACGCATTAGTGGGCGGGACTAATGGGCTGGGGCACACGGTCGCCCTCAAGGGGTGAGGTGGACCTGTTTGGGTTCTAAGGGACAAAAGGATGGCTCAGATCATCTCTGATATGACATCTCGCCGGCCCGTCAGATCTGGAGCGAGGAGGAGAGATATGGGACATCAGTATAAACATGAAAACCTGCGGCCAGGCTGTCTCTGAGACCAGAGGCAGCAAGGACACAAGTTTGCGAGTTAGAGGCATCTGGCTTGAAATACTGACGCTGGCTGACAGCCGGGGCCAACCCCCTTCCCTTCTGCGGCCTCAGAGTTAGAACCTGTGGAGCGGGCACAGGAAGGGTTGCTGTGAGCGTGAGATCAGTTACTGCGCTAAAGGACCAGCCCCTTGGTTGCAGGACACCCAATAGGAGCTCAGTATGTGGCAAACACTAAAACATTAAAAGGGGCAGGGGCCAGCAGATGGCATAATGATTGTGTTGCTGGACTCCTACATGGTCGACTGCAGTTTGAGTCCTGGACCCAGCAGTTTAAGATTCACAGCAGGTACATGTGTGTGCATGCCCAAGACCCTGAGAGGGGAACGGAGAAGAAGGGACTGTGACATGGCCATCTCCCCCCGGGGTGAGTTCTCGCTTTCTGTCTCTCTGGTGAGGGCATGCGCCCTACAGCAAAAATCGCTTTTAAAAAAAGGGGAGGGGAGCCATGAACGCTCTCTGTGCCTTACGCACGCTGCGCCTTGGCTGCCTTAATTGAGAAGTCTGACCTAAGACAGAGAAGTGGGCTCAGGAGCACAGCAGGCCCTGAGGGCCAGCTGTCACAGCACACCCTGGAAAATGAGCCCCGTTCATGTCCTTGGACCTCAGTCTTTCTACCTGTGAATGTGACCGACACTCATGGCGGGACTCCATCAGGTGGCAATGCGGACAGGGAAGAGAGGGGCACATGAGGGGCCGGTGGGGAGCCCTCAAGCTCCAGGTCAGGGCCTGTCCCCAGGAGCAAGGTCCACTTACTATGGTCATATCCCGGCGTGGAGGAGGCCTCTGCCTCATCTTCGGTGATCCTATGGAGAGACAAGACCGTATTTCAGTGGCGTGTGATTCGACACGATTCCTGAGCTGGACACCAGGGAAGTCTCTGCAGACGGGTGAAACACTGTCCAGGAGTCAGCGTGCTGCCCTGAGCCTCCCCGTGAGAACTGCGAGCCTCCTCGTGAGAGCTGGCTGATCAGGAAGGTGCGCCTCCATGGCCCAGGACCCTCATGTGTGTGAGCCGATGACTCCGGGCATTGCTTTGGAGCTGGCTGCCCTAGCTCTGGGTCTTAGGACGAGGAGGAGGATGACCACGCAGTGGTCCGGGGCTCCTGACTAAATCCAGACCTTACATGTTGCTAGGACTGGTTCAGCACCAGTCCACACAGAAGGGTAGCTGGCAGTTAGGGTGTGCAGGAGTCCACTCATCCCTCAAAATCCCATTCCCTCCCTCTGTCTTCTATGACAATAAGCAGCAACTGAGTTTTAGCCAGGACACTCGGTGGCCTGTCGACATTTCTGACTCCCTTGCAGCGGTGTGTGGCCACGACTACGTTCTAGACAACGGGATGTGACAGAAAGTGGAAGAGTGTAGCTTCCGGGTTGTGTTCTCCAATTCTCCCTGTCTGCTTTTCACCAGCCAGATCAGGTGAGCCCTCCTGGGGCAGGAGGAGGGTGACAGACAGATGCAGTGTAACAAGACTTCTGACAGCATGGAGCCTTGGACACTACCTGGACTGTTTTATGAGAAAGAAATAAACACCTAAATTATCTGAGCCATGGTTATTGGTGTATGTGTGTGTGTGTGCGCGCGCGCGCGTGTGTGTGTGTGTGGGGTATGTCTTTGTTTTAGCATCTGAACCTACATCCTAGCAGAGATGAGGTTTCAGATCTTCGTTTGCTCCATTGGTGTCAAATGGAATCCAGTTGTGCTCGTGGCAATGATAGACCAGACCCACAGAAACTTGGCGCTGGCAGAACCCTTGCCACAGCAGGAAAGAAAACATGATCAGTGTTCTTTCAGAGCAGCTAAGGAAGAGAGTATAAAACTTGGTTAAGAGACTTGAGGTCATTGCCACTTGGCAAAAACAGTTGGGAGAAGCCCAGCGGGGGCAGTGACCTCATCTCTGTGGGTAGCTGAAAGTCCTTTCTCAATGCTCTGTCCAACGAGGACAGGTCTATAGGGCAGTGGGCCTGAGGCTCGGATACAAGGCAGACAACAATGATGAACCCTATAGTCAAGTGTTCAGGGAACATCCAATAGTAGAATACAGACAGGAAGGCTGTGACCTGAAGCTAGTGTAAACCCATCCCAAGGCCACGTCCCTCCCTCTGGCTCTGGAGTAGGCCATGTGGAGGAGTGAAGAAGCACACGCACAGTGTACGAACAGGGAGGCCCTGGGCACCCCCTCATCTTCCTGATCCCTAATCTGTACAAGGAAGGCTGTACATCTTCATAGGTTACTAGATATGGATAAAACGAATAGGAAGATTCTTGGCACACAGTAGGTGCTTGACAAACAGTAGGGCTGTTTCGAGAATGAGAGAAGCCCTAAGTACAGGGGCTGGCACACGGTAGGCCCTTAGCCAGGGGAGCTGGGGGAGCATCACTCACTCGGCTTGACATCGCCTTCGGACACCAGGCGGCCTTCACACCTGCCATCCCTCTGGTTGTTGAGCAGCTCCTTCTCCCTGCCTGCCACATTCTGCTGCCAGGAAACACCATCCGTGTCGAGGGCCCCCGACTGGGCAGGCGAGCCGGGGCGCAGCTTTGGCGGTAAGGGCTCCCCACTGCTCTTTTTTAGATAGGAGGCGGGGGCCCAGCCTTCTTTGCCCTGGAACCTGCAAGGAGGAAGGACGCTGGTCAAGCTGATCTCCTGGCCCAGGAAAGAAGCAAGGTTTCTACTCCAGACCATGCTCAGGTCCCAGAGGGTGGGAAGGAAGGGCTGGAGCCGCCCAGGGAGAAGCAGAAAGCAGTAAGAGTCTAAGGAGGTAGAAAGCTACAGGCTATCAGCTTTTTTTTTTTTTGTTTTTTTCTTTTTTTTTTTTTTTTTTTTTGAGAGGTTTTTGCTATAGGGTGTGTGCGTTCACCAGAAAGATGGAGACAGACAGAAAGACAGAAAGCGAGAAATCACCCTCCAGAGGGGATGGCCACGCTACACTCCCTTCTCCTCCATTCTCCTCTCGGGATCTTAAGCACATGCACACACACCCAGGGTGAATTTAAGCTACCGGGTCTGGGACTCAAACTGCGGTCAACTATATGGGAGTCCAGTGACATAGCCATTACGTCAACTGCTGGTCCCAGGCGATCATCTTTTAAAAAATTTTTGCTAGGGACCAGCAGTTAGTGTAATGGCTACATTGCTGGACTCCCACGTAGTCAACCGTGGTTCGCGTCCCGGACCCGGTGGCTTAAACTCATGCCGGGTGCATGTGCGTGTGTGCCCAAGAGCCCGAGAGAATGGAGGAGAAGGGATTGTGGTATGGCCATCCCCCTTGGGGGGTGATTTCTCGCTTTCTGTCTCTGTCTGGCGAGCGCATGCGCACTATAGCAAAAACCTCTAAAAATTTTTTTTGCTAGAGGGTGCCCATGTTAACTGGAAACAGAGAGAGAGAGAGAGAATAAGTGAGAAATCACCCCCTGGGGGCCTGGCCACACAGCAATCTCTTCTCCTCCTGAGAATTTAGGCATGCACAACATACGCCTCGTGTGATTTTCAGTTCACCAGGTCCGAGACTTGAACTGCAGAAGACTATATGGGAGTCCAGTGCCTTAGCAACTATGCTTCTTGCTGGCCTCTGTGACTGTCTTTTGTATCTGTCCATGTGAACTGTGTCTTGCTCGTGGTTGACTCCTCAGCTCCCACAGGGGGGCCTGGCCCAAATGGACTGCTAGCTGATGTTTGTTAAATGAATGAATGCATGCATGGTCCCACGTGGATGGTCCTAGAGCCCTGCCACACATCAGGGACAGAAACCAGGTCACAGCAACCTTGGCTCTCTCTTACCATCATTCTCTGCGTACTGACAAGTTCAAGAAGAGGTCCCCAGAAGTTTCATTACTAAAACTAAGTTCAGCATGGAGTGGTGCCTAAGGCGCTGGACTCCCACATAGCCAACCACTGGTTGGAGTCCCAGACCAGGGGGCTTGAAAATCATGCTGGGTATGTGTGCATGTGTGCCCAAAATCCCAAGAGGAGGATGGAGGAGAAGGGCTGCGGCGTTGCCATCACTCCTGGGGGGTGACTTCTCACTTTCCTTCTCATTGTCTTGCTCTGGTGAGCGCATGCACCTCTATGGCAAAAACCAAAAAGACAACAACAAAGAAAACCCAAGTCCCAGGCAAGAGAGAATGAGTTGGTCACTCTGCCTGCCCCAGAGCTTCTGATTCCATCCCGGTGAAGGGCTGTGACACATTTGAAACGTAGGTTCTCCTTCTACTAAGTCATCGGGAAAGTCATGACGTATTTTTCTCTGCAAAAATGTGCCTCGACTCTCCCGACAACCCGACTGTTGGACTCCAAGAGAAGAAAAGCTGTCGGCTCGGGTGAGTCCCAGCTGAGGCGGTGGCCACGCACCACTTTGGTCTGATGGGGCTGGGATGGGCAGCCGCCACCTCCAGTTACTCCACACAAGATACCTCTGAGAGGGTGACCAGCCTTGCCTAACAGGGTTACTGTGACCCGTGCTTCGGTGTTTAGAGAAGGTTTTGCTTATTAGGGACTTTTAGGTAGGAGAAGGGTAGGGAGGGAGGCCAAAGAGTGGAGAGACGTGTCTGTTTGTATCAGCCAGAAACCTTACCCATGTGCAACCACTTACAGACCTCCGTGAAGCTGGAGCCCGCATGACCTGAACCCTGCATGGCTCCAGTGGGAGGGAGGGCCAGGTACCTGATCTTCCACCAGCCTTCCAGGTTTTTCTGGATGACCTCCACCACGGCCCCTCTCTCCAGGTTCATCTCATCCTGGTCCCGAGCTGTGTATGGGTAGATGACGGTGTACTTCTCCTCTGTGGGAAAGAAGGATGCTGAGGTTGGACAAGGACAGAGGGGCCTGGAGGCCGGCTGACCTGTGTGATGCCCTTGCCCACCGGAGGGGAGATTTCCTCCAGAGATGGCTACCCTCCCCTGATCCCCCTAACCTAGCTCTGGCTGACCCCGTGCAAGCAGCGAGAGGGCACAGGACAAAGAGTGGGTCCCTAATCACCTGAAAAGCCCGTTTCGCACCTTCCTCAAACCCGTGCTTCAAAGTCATGCCCTGACGATTACGTAGTAGGCATCCTCTCACCCCTTACCCAGGTCGATCTTTTCCCGTGTACAGGAACTGCTCTGTAATGCAGCGCATAATTGACTCATCTGCTGGGCCTCCTGTCTGTCTGTCCTGTCAGAATGTGGACTACACGATAGCAGGTTCTGTGTCTTGTCCATTCTGGCAGCTCTAGCCCTGGGCATGGTGCCTGGCATATTCATAAATGATTAGTAAATGAACCAATGTGTAGTCAATGAACGAGACCTGAGGGCCTGGTGGGAGCCAGCCTGCTCACACAGAGGGCTTCCAATCCTCGTGGCCCCCCGCCAGTGCTCGCTGCCGGGGAGTTCAGGGTAGCTGAACCTTGGCAGCTGACGGTTTCAGGCTCAAGTCACTCGCAAGGAGAAGTCTAGCATTTCTCATGACCCAGCTGGTAACTCGCCTACACTTTGAATTAACTACACTCAGCCCCAGAATCCAACCATGCCCGAGGTGCCAATTCCCATGAATGTGATGGGGTACCTTCCACACTCTCTCTATGGGCTCACCCTATGCCACCCACCCCTCAGCAAGCCCCAAGGGCAAGGGGCCGGCTCCTGTGAAGGGACCCCCAGAGGAGGGAAGGAAGGCATTCAAGATCGCCAGCTCTTCCTGTTGACGTGGAAAGAGACCTCACACGGGACCCGGGGGAGCCTGGCCAAAAGAGCAGAGGCTTTGCTGTCCGGGCTCTGTCAGCCCCTGGCTGAGCAGCCGAGCCAGCTGTGCCTGCCACCCACGGCGACTGTGCCGGGGCAGACTCCATCTCTCTGGGCAAACACCAGGGCTGGCTGTGGCCTGCTCCGCTGTGCAGAGGGAGGTGGAAGGCACGCCAGGCGTTTATTGATTGATTGATCTGGCCTGCTGACCTGCTCCGTGGGGCTGAGCTGATTCGGGCTGCACATATGCTGTGTTTAGCGGAGTCAGCCGTTCCCCTCATATGTGGAAGCTGCAGGCTGAGATGCTGGGCTGGGAGGGGTGGAGGAGGGGAAGCCAACCTTGTGGACACACAGAAGTTCTGTTTGGTCCGGATGGAAAGGGCACTGCCAGGGTCGCAGACTAAGTGCAGTCAGCCCTACGAGGCCTGGACTCTGAGGCCTCGCACCCCTCGGCTGAGCTGAATGGAGGATCCTCTAGCACCTAAGAGGGCCTCTTTGGGGTCCATGAGACCCTCAGCGATTCCGAACAGCTTAGTGTGTAATGCCCCGGTACCACAGAGCCCTCTGGCCACTGCGACTGGGTTTATTGGAGGCAAGTGACCCAAGTGGCTTAGCTGAGGCTCGTGGTGAAGGGGCTCTTTCTTCGGCAGCTATCCCTGAAGGGTGCCCACAAGTGCTGTCGTCATGCAAGAATGGTGGCAGCAAGGTCGAGAGCAGAGAGGTGGCGAGAGTCCAGACCTGACGACATTTCTACATCCCTGGATCTAGCTAGGCTTGCAGCCGGACATGCTTAACCTGATGTAGGTTTCTATCCTCTGCATGAAAGAAACAGGTTCTGGTTCAGCATTGTGGAAGTCCCGATGTCAGGTTTTAGCTGGAAACTGCAGCAGGACCCTAGGCTCGCGCCTCCCAAACCACATGCCCAAACACACAGGCCAGACAGACGCAGTCACCATGTCTTGCATGCAACAGGCACAGGCAGCCCGAGCAGGGGACACATGCAGAGGCAGGGACCCAGCTGCAGGCATCCCATGGGAGGACTCCGAGGCAGGCACCTTGACGCCAGCTGATGGCATACAAGTCCCCCAGAGTCCGGCGGCGGCCTACGGGCCGGGGCAGAGACCAGTACCTCCAGGAGCCTGGACGGGCAGCATGTGGAGGGGAAGGGCAGAGGTGAGACAGAAGCACGGGGTCCCAAACACCTGTCCCCGCTTTGGGGTGCACTGCTTGGGTTTAGTCCAAACCCATCTGTCTTAGGAAGACCAAGCACCTGGGGGTAACCTTGACCTGAGAGAAGCAGCGCCCAGCAGACACCGTTCTACTCCTGCTTGAGTGTAAAGAGGTGCGAAGAGAAACCCCTGGGGCGGAGAGAGGACATTGTTCACACTCGCAGGAAATGCCGTCCTGGTCCATCCCCTAGCTGTGCGACTCCTGGCGTCTCTCTCCCCATCAGAGCCTGTTTCCTCACCTTGCAGAGGCTTCCCATGGCGGCCACCATCAACTGCTGGAAGGGCCACTGTTGCCATGTTGTACGTACACCACGACCCCTTAACCTGGGCTGAATGTCCTGTATGCCCGTGTTAGCCCAGCCATGAGTGCCTGGGAGACCCTCGCAAACTCAGACTAGCACGCCAATAGATGTTTTACTCTGTGGGGTGTTGGCTGTAATAAAACTAAATGCAGCCACTTACACTTGTTTTTCTAATGTTTAAGAAAAGGAATATCCCCGTCTCCTCACCTCTTTTCTAATACATGTACTTAAGAGTGGCTCTACACCTTCTCAAATTAGTCAACGAAAAGCCAAAAACCCTCTGTTCTAGGTAAAGTACGGCTGATTGGGTAATAGCTATGCCTAGTTACTAACTGTCCTAGGTTTTTTTTTTTTTACATGTCGGGTCTTACTAAATTAAAAAGATATCAATTAAAATGTAAGTATCATAGTTTTCACTTTTGGATGAAGAAGCTAAGGCTCCGAGAGGTTCAGTCATCAGTCGTCAGGCTGAGATCAACAGCCAGTTAGTGCTACAGCGAGATTCAAGGTCGGTCTGCAAGACTCAAACCCCCGCCTACCAGTGAAGGTGGACCGTGCTCTGGTATTATGAATGCTTCTGGCGGGGGGAGAGTTGCTTGGTATTTCTGGCATGGCAGGAATCATCACTGAGGACACCTGTAGGGCAGGTTTCCTAGGTAACGGAAGCATGTGTGTGGGTGAGTGGAGGGGGCAGTGGAAGACACCCAGTCAGGGCCATTTAAACCAGCAGAGGAACCAGAGATCTTTATACTCGTGGGTCAAATGTCACGCAGATGAGCTCAAAGCCACTCCAGCATTGAGCACCAGAATAATTCTACGAGAAATGGCTCTGCTGGGGTCCCAGGAAGGTCTGAAGCCCCTGCTTTGGCCAGGCCCACCTAGGCTGGCTCTAAGAAGTTGCCCTCAGCCCTAATCTCATGGCCTGGCTCATGTTCACACCTCCAGAGCATGAGCTAGTGAGCTCCTGAGCCTGAGGCAGAGGCTGAAGGGAAGGGACTCGGTGAGGAGCCAGCCAGTGTAGGTGAGAGCTACACAGAGCAGGAGTGAAAACAAAGAGCAGATCATGTTTAAATGCAGCCCCACCAATAATCACACTAACTGTAAAAGGCATAAACATCCCAATGAAAAGGAATAATGCCAGATTGGATTAAAAGAGAAAGGTCCACAGTTGCATACAGTCTACAAAAAACTTGCACTGCACACAAGTAGGTTGGAAGTCCAACAAGGATAGACAGACTATACACTACACAACGGTGGGTTGGATACCCGCCCCACCCCCACATTCAGGAGTTACTTTATCAGGGAAGAGGGTGTTTGCAGGTGTAATCAGCTGACAGCCCGCGTGTCTTCCCCAGCACAGAGGGGCATGGGCTCTTTCCTACCTTCTTCAGGCTGCAGGGAAAACTCATCCTGCACACCATCCTGGCCCTCGAGGCAGGTTGCGGGGACCCAGCCTTGCTCCTCAGCGGTGCTAACAAACCACCAACCTGGGGGAACAGGACCGCAGACTGAGGTTACCTAGGATGTGCGCAGGGCCCAAGGGCCAGAATACAACGCTAAGTCCAGCCACTGCATCGGTTAATGTTCGGGGAGGTTAAAAGGTCACCCTTTTCCGGGCAGAACAGAGATACCAATGTTAGCTGCTAACCTGCTGTAAAGGCTATTGAGAACCTTACTCTCGGGCCAGATGATGGCGCAGTGGTAATGCAACTGGACTCACATGGGAAGGTCCCCAGTTTGCAACCTGAGGCCTCCTCACACTTGCACCTGTGTTCTAGGCTGGCTGAGGTTGGGGTGGACTGTGGTATGAGGACCCTGTTGGAGGTGCTTGTCTGTTTTTCTTGCCCTCACTGATGGAAGATAGAAACAAATTTAAAAAGCAAAAAAAGGACACTTGTTCCCGAGTCTGGGCAGGGGAAAAAGGCTGTCCTACAGTTAGGATAGGTTGTTCACTTTCACTGAGACGTGCAATGTGCCAATCATTTTAATTACATTATCTTTCTGATCTTCACATTACCATCCCCACTGCACAGATGAGAAAGCTGAGGCTTCAAGAGGCAAACAGAGGTGTCCAAGCTCACGCACCTTGTGGCAGAGCTGCGGTTTGTGCCAGGGCTCTCTGACTGAAGGCACTGCTCTAAGCACTTGCCCAAGAGGCACTGATTTGGCTTTTAGCCTCGTCTGGGGAACTCTACCTGCAGATGGAATGGCCCAAGAGGCCTCTCGCCTACACTCAGGAATTCCCTAAGAAGGGCTTGCACAAGCTTGTGATAGGTAGAAAAATGACCCTCCCACCCCAAAGATGTCAATGCCCTAATCCCTGGAACCTGAAAATATATTCATTAACATGGCAATGGGGAATTAGGCTGTCCACTGCTGACCTTAAAACAGGGCAACTACTGGTGGCCTGGTGGGAAGGGCGAAGCCCTGTGAAGCAACCCCACACAGGAAGCTTACAGTCCGAGTCCCAAGGTTACTGAGCACTTGTGCACCCACGAGCTGGGGCTGGCTGAGGGTGTACTGCAGTGCCAAGACCCTTTTGGAGGAGCCAGCAGATGGCGTAATGGTTACATCACTGGACTCCCACATAGTCCATTGTGGTTCAAGTCCTGGACCCAATGAGTTAAAACTCACTCTGGGTGTGTGTGCGTAGTCCATTGTGGTTCAAGTCCTGGACCCAACGAGTTAAAACTCACTCTGGGTGTGTGTGCATTGTGTGCCCCAAATCCCGAGAGAACAGAGAAGAGACTGTGGCATTGGCCATCTGCCCTGGGGGTGGGTGATTTCTTGCTCTTTGTCTTTTTCTGTCTCTCCGGTGAGTGTATGCACCCTATAGTAAAAACCTCTCCAAAAAAACAAAACCCGCAAACAAATTGATGATTGGAGAAATGAAGTGGCCTGGACTAGTGTGAACTGCTGAGTCTGGGCGGAAATCCAGGCTCAGTGCCTCAGTCACGCCGCATCAGACCAGACCCGGCCATGTACGTGCCGTGTCCCCGAGGTGGGCAGGTGAGTGGCATGGGGCATACCCACTCCTTGACAACAGGGCTCGTGCAGCCGTCTCGAAGACGCCCACAGAAATAAAGGCAGAGCAATGGCGCGTGCTCCCAGCACCGCGCCCAACTGCCTCTGTGCGCTTCAAACCTAGAAGGCATGTCAGTGTAGTGAGACCTCAGGACACACTGGCAAGGCCACCTCAGTGACCCTGTGAGCTGTGACCACGTGTGACACTGCACCCTGTGACTAAACAGGGCAGCTCACGAGGAGGCCCCCAGCCGGGCCTGTGGAAGCGGGCCAGCCTGGATCAGTTACTGCAGCTTCTGGGTTTCCAAGCGTTTCTGTCCGAGAGCCCTGGTGACCTGTGCATGGGGAAGGAGGGAGTCTCGGGCTCCACCTGACTCGTTCTTCTCAATGATGTCCACCACCTGCCCCACGCTGAGGCTGATCTCCGAGCTCTCCTGCTTCTGGTAGTTTGCCACCACCACGTACTGCTCCAGCACCATGGGGTCCACTGAGGCCGGGTCACCCCCTGTGGACGGAAATGCAATCAGTGCCTCTGTCGGTCCCACCTGTGCACAGACGCGCAGGAGCCAGGGCACTGGGTGCGTTAGGACATTCCACACAGAGAATGCTGTCACAGGGTGACCTCATCCGCCCATTCATCCATCTGCTCACTCAACCACCTAAACTTACTGAGTGCCTATTCTACGCAGGCACTGGGGGTTAAGGCTGGTTAAGGCGGAACCTGCCCTCACAACGCGGACGGCCTAGTTGGAAAGATCACTCCTTGATGCTGACTGATCCAACTATCAGTCCGAGAGCCATTACCCATCCATCGCCTATCCAACTAAACGCAGACTCAACACCCATCGACATGGGGCCACCCCCAGATCACTCACACACTAATTCATGAGGCTGCTGCTCAAGCCCCGGAGACTCCCGGGCTCAGGTAGCTCAGCGCAGTCAGGGAGACAGACACAAGGACAGGTGAACAGACCCACTCAGATACGGAATTGTTTGTGATCAATGAATTGCTGGAGAAAACAGGGGTGCCAGGATGGAGAGACAGAGAGGGAGACCGTGCTGTATTGCATGCAGTGGCCGGCAAGATCTCCCTAAGGCAGCGATGGAAGGTGAAGGCTGGAGGGGGAGATGCCTGAGGGAGTGGGGAGGAAATGGTGCGGCACGCTGAGAAGGGAGGCTCAGGGCCTTCAGAGCTGGGAGGCGGCCAGGTGCTGGCCCCGTGGTGGGGAGAGGGTCCCGATGAGGTCCCTGAGGGAGGCATGGCTCACGTCAGCCATGCCTTCAGGCCAAGCTAAGAAGTTTGCATTTCTTAAACCTAGACAAGTCAACTAGGGGCTGTAAAAAGGGAATGGCAGAAAAAAATTCTCAAAAATTGGAAGTTAATGGGGCCAGCAGACTGGAAAATTAAGGTGCTGGATCTTACATGGCTAACTGCATGATTCATCTTGGGCCCAGGGGCTTGAAAAACACACAGGGTGTGTGTATGTGTGAGTGCCAAAAGTCCGGAGAAGAGAATGGAGAAGAAGAGACTGTGGTGTGGTCATCCCCCGTGTGTGTGTGTTTGTGTGTGTGTGTGGGGGGGGTTGAAAAATCATAAAAATAAAAGGAAAAGAAAAGTTAACGACCCAGCTGTGGTGGCATGGGTGGTAGGTCAGCCTGGATACACTGGGCTTGCCTGTGGGCGACTGTGGTCCTGCCTGGCTGGAAACTCACCGTGACCTTCGGTAACTGTGCTCTGGCCAGGAGCTTCCTGGCTAGTCAAGAGCATGCAAAGTGGGACCCCACTTCAGGGAATTTCGTAGTTGCTGGTCCCTCTGTTAGGGACAGTCTTCTCCAGACCTCTGCAGAGCTTCCTCCCTTCCTTCAGGCTCCTGCTCAAGTGGCACCTCGATGGGCATGTGTGCTCATCAGAGACAGAGACAGATGGGGCGAGAGGGAGGGTGAGAAACTACCCCCTGGGGGCTGGCCATGCCACAATCCTATCTCCTCCTGGGATTTTGGGCATGTACATGCACCTGTCATGAGTTTCAAGCAGCTAGGCTCAGGACTCGAACCATGGCTGGCCATGTGAGAGTCCAGTGCCTTAACCATCACGCCTCTTGCTGGCCCTGTGAATGAATATTTTAACACTCAGCTTTAAGTGACTTTCTACTGCAGGGAGAATTAGAAGGTCTCCCCTCACATTTTATTTCGAGGATAGCCCTGTGTCCTCCTGGTCAGAGTACCTCCAACCTCATGCACCCGTGTCCTGCTGGCCTAGTGCCCCGCCAGGCCCACGGCAGGTACTCAGTACACATGGACTGAATGAATGCCTGTCTGTCTTGGTCACTCAGCACCTAGCACAGGAACTCAATAGACATTTGTGGACTGAATGACCCGAGGACAAAGGGAGACTTCTAGAACCCCTACAGCTCTTCCTCGTGGGAACATGCAGGGCTGAGTTATCAAGGGCACCTATCCACAGGGAGGGATAGGGCTTCAGTCAGGCCAGGACCCAGTGAAGCTGGGTTACTCTGTCCAGAGAGTTCAACTGTTGCCACCCAACTTTATTTATTTATTTTTGGAGAGGTTTTTGCTATAGGGCGCGTGCGCTCGCCAGACAGAGACAGAGAGACAGAAAGCGAGAAATCACCCCCCAGGGAGGATGGCCATGCCGCAATCCCTTCTCCTCCATTCTCCTCTCGGGATCTTGGGCATGCACACACACACACGCCCGGTGTAAGTTTTAAGCCACCGGGTCCAGGACGTGAACCGCGGTCGACTACATGGGAGTCCAGCAACATAGCCATTACGCTAACTGCTGGTCCCCTACCCAGCTTTATTTAATGCTGATGTCAACACAGTTAGACTCACGCAGGAGTGCTGGGTGCTCAGACCGAACACCAGGCCTGGTTCTTGTCTAAAGCTCATGAAGAATTAGAAACACAGACAACGGAGAGGATAGTAAGTGAAGTTCATTAGAAAAGAAGCTTCCAGCACAGTGGAAGGGGTCCCGAATTGTTGCTGAAGAGGAGCTGAGGACCGAGGATTTTATCCAGCAGCCCAAGAAAACGGCTGGCTCTCTGATAAGCAAGTGGGCCTGAGAAAACAGTTGTCTGGTAGTGCGATTTATCACCCCGTCCTTCACGGGGCCAGCAGGCCAAACGACCTTCAGTTTCTGTTGGCATGGAGTTAGCAATCAGAAACTGTGGCCCTCAGTGGCAGCTCTTTTGAGTCCTAAGGAAGTCAGTGTTTTGTTGAAACTGATCCACTGTGACTCCATCGTGGGTCAAGCTTACTGTGTCAGACTGTGTGAGACTGTGTCTCTGTTTCAGGGCCTGATACCCTGACTGGATGTCCCAGGTTTACCTCCTACCTCAGACCACACACCATTTTCAGGACTCTGGCCTGTTTATTCCCACACCAACTCTCCTAACAAGAGCTGCCGACGGCGTTCAGCAAAACCGTGAGCAGGGACAGGATCCGGGAATCCATGGCCCTTGATGTGAGCAAGTTACAAAGTGAGGAAATGAGGAGGGCCAAGGGCAGGGGTCAGGACGCTGGGCTGGCGCAGGGCTCAGGCCTGGCATTTCCTCCCAGACTTGCTCTGGGGCCAGGTCTAAGCCTGCCATCGCCTGCCTGCCTTTTCAGACTGATAGCTGTTAGACTGCAGTTCCCTGCCATGAAGTAATTCAGCAAGGGGAACATGGAGTTGCTTTTCAGCATCAAGTCTTTCAGAGCAAGTTTCCTTCATTCTACACAGAACACTGAAAATGGATGAAAATGAGAACCCCACTTATTTGATTACCAGGAGTCTCAAACGAGGCTTCTGGCCATTTTGGTGTTACGTAGAGACACCTACTGGTGGGATGTCATATTGTAGCCAAGCTCTATGATGCACTGTAACTGCAACCCTAAAAGCTGAAGCAGGTGGCTAAATGCTAGGAGTTGCCAAGTAGGAAATAAAAAGCGAGGAATATCACTCTGTGGTCCAGAAGGAAATATGAGAGAGGAAGCAGGTCAAGAGAAAGGAGATTGGACTGTGGGAGGGTGACTGTATCATTAAGTACCATAACATATATATATATTTTTTTTTGGAGAGGTTTTTGCGATAGGGCACGTGAGCTCGCCAGACAGAGACAGACAGACAGAGAGACAGAAAGCGAGAAATCACCCCCCTCCAGGGGGTATGGCCACGCCGCAATCCCTTCTCCTCCATTCTCTCGGGATCTTGGGCACGCACGCACATGCGCCCGGCGTGAGTTTTAAGCCACCGGGTCCGGGATGCGAACCACAGTCGACTACGTGGGAGTCCAGCAACATAGCCATTACGCTAACTGCTGGTCCCACCATAACATATTTTCAAGAGGCACAGAGCTGAATCTAACAGTTTTCTAGTTAGGTATTCTTTTCTACATGATGAAATTTTAAAAGGATAGTAAGGGACTGGCAGGGGCGTGGTGGCTGAGGCACTGGACTCCCACATGGCTGACCACAGTTCGAGTCCTGGAACTGGTGGCTTGCTTTCTTACATTCTCTTCTTCTTGGGTTGAACTAAAAATAATGATAAACAGACAAAATGAAATAAAGTAATCCTTTAAAAAATAAAAGAAAATGATGAGTAATGGTAAAGAGGAATGTTCTATCCAGAAATTTACTGCGGGCAGGCTGGCTGAGAGTCTGTAACTGAGAGACTACTTTGGGCCAGCCTGTGGCCTGATGGTTAAGGCGGCTGGATCTTATGTGGGTGATGGCACTGCTCAAGGCCTGGACCCAGCAGCTTGAAAAACATGCTAGACATGTGTGTGTACATTCCTGAAAGCCCAAAGGAAGGGGGAAATGGAGGAGAGTGGACTGTATTCCCCACAGGGGACGCTTTCTCACCCCCACTTCCTGCGAGCACGTGTGCCCTCTAGCAAATTAAAAAAAACAAGAACAAAAACTTTAATAAGTAAAGGGTAGAAAAATCAGAACAAAAGACACTCCTTAAATAATGCAATCGGTCAGATTTTGGAAAGTCCCCCCCCACCCCAATGGGATAAGCAGACCTTGAGACCACATTCGCCGAACTCTGCGGGAGCCAGCCAGCTGGTCATGACAGAGAAATGCCAGAGACAGATAAGCCTTTTCCAGCTGAGGAGTCCTGACACCGACATCTCAGGAGTTATCCTGTTAACCTTAAATCCCTTTAAAATTCAATCAAGAAGGCTGATTCTAGAAAAAGGAAGTGTTCAAAGGTCAGGTAAAAAATAAGACTAATCCCAGCTTGGGTTCTCAGTCTGAAGGACAAAGATGCTCATTCCCGCCCAGCTGAGCTATAAATAAACCCGGCCCATCATTGCGGGCGAATGATGTAACGGTCACTGCAAATTAGAGCCTTTCTCTCTTTTCCAGACAAGTCCCCTCATCAGGCCTGTTCTAACTGGACACTTGTTTTCACAAACCGAAGCTGCCTTTCTTCAATTCTTCCCTCCCTCCCACTGCTCCTTCCAGGGAGCCTCTGTACACTCAAAACCAGGAACTATGGGACCAGCGGATGGCGTGATGGCCACGCTGCTGGACTCCCATACAGTCAACCACGGTTCGAGTCCTGGACCCAGTGGCTTAAACTCATGCCGGTCGCGTGTGCATGCATGCCCAAGATCCTGAGAGGAGAATGGAGAAGGGATTACGGCATGGCCATTTCCCCCTGGTGGGATTTCCCGCTTCCTATCTCTCTGTCTCTATCTTTCTGGTGAGTGCACATGCCCTATAGCAAAAACCTCTCCAAACAAACAAACAAAAAAACCCAGGAACTGTGCCCAGCCCAAGCGTGGCATCTCCTCTCTGCTCTTTTCTAGGAAACCTATCATTATCCCTGGGGCTCAAGAACTACCTGTGGCTTTAGCAGGATGCCATGGCTCGGGCCAGTGCCTATTAAACAGAAAGCGGAGCTGTCCACACCTCAGACTAGGAGCAGGCCTGTGTGGGTCCCAGGCGCCACGACTGTGCAGAAACCGAGTTCCTCTCCCTGCTTCCCTTCAGGGTTGGTGTTGGGGCCTGCGAGGCTGGGACAGGCCTGTACTCCGGGTAGCAAAGGATTCTTTTTTTTTTTTTTTTTTTAAGAGAGCTTTTTTCCGCTGTAGGGCTCGTGTGCTTGCTGGAGAGACAGAGACAGAGAGGCAGAATGCAGGAAATCCCTGGGAGGGTGGCCATGCCACAATCCCTTCTCCACTCTCCTCTTGGGATTTTGGGCACATAGGCACATGCACCCGGTGTGAGTTTAAGCCGCTGGGCCTGGGACTTGAACTACAGTCAGAATGTGAGAAGCCAGCAACATAACCATTATGCCACCTGCTGGTCCTTTAAGGCCTTTGCATTTGGAGTTGTTTCTGATGCTGGTCAGGGACCCCAGCATGCTTTGAGTAACACTAGCAGTAACAGAAATAAAAAGGGCAGCAGCAATCTGACAAGGTGGGCGGCCATCACTGCTCCTGTCTTACTGCTAAGGAAACAGGCCTGAGGGAGAGGGCATCCTCTTTAACTTCTGGGATCTCTGCTTATCCTTCCCTGCTTTTTCCTTGTAGACCCCCCTCAAGCTTCTTGGAGTCCTAAGAAATAAAAGAACATAGAATTCTGGGAGTTCCGAAGGCCACACTGGCTCCAGCTGTGGTATGGGCCAGGGCCTTTGTAGATGTGAGGTTCGATCCTGGGCAGCCTGAAGGAAAGTTGGGCTGTCGTTGATCTGAAGTTGCAAGCCCAGGCTGTGAGAATTCAATCTCAGTTCTCGGAGCACTCCCGAATCCCCTCTTCTCTTCTCCACTGAAAGCTTCTGATGGGAGAGTTGTGCTGCCAGGGCACAGAAACAGTGTTTGGAAGGAAGATACTTATTTCTAATTTACTATAAAGCACATGCGCTTGCGAGTGAGAGAGAGAGAGGGAGGGAGAGACAGAGACAGAGAGAGAGAGACAGAGAAAGAACGCCCCAGGGACGATGGACACATCACAATTCCCTCTCCATTTTCCAAGTCTAGAATGGCCCTGTGAGATCCAGCCGCTTCACCCATCACACCACTGGCTGGCCCCAGAAGGAAGACCATCTACTTCAGGGAGAAGAGAGTAAGTGTGAGAACTGCACGGTGCTGCACTTCTCGCCGCCCAGAACAGGGGCTGACTGCAGGAAGCTGGGCTGGAGCGGAGATGTCAGACGGGTCAGGCCCCGCCTGCTGCACATTCAGGCCTCCCCAGCCCAGGAAGCCCTGCCCTGCAGTGGAAGGTTTGTTCTTCAAGACCCAGGGTGCCTCCTTTCTGACCCCTCCCCAACCCCTGAGAAGAATGCTCTTAGCTCTGAGCTCTCCGCATTGCTTCTTCTGAGGCAGAACAGTGACAGTAAGTAACCTCCACTTTCCCGTTAAAAGACAAGCTCTTGCTACTTGGGCTCATCATGCCTCAGCCTCCTAGCGGGGCCTACGGGAATGCGCTTTCCCATAGGCTTTTGGTGTTAGCCAGGCCAGCCTAAGCTGGTGGTCCTCCTGCCTCTGCCTCCGAACTGCTGGGGTTACAGACAGGTGCCACCGTACCCGGCCTGTACACTGAAAGCTGGACCGGGAATCGAACCCAGGCCTCCCTGTGGGCCCAGCCTGTGCAGTACAGCATCTTAGCAGTGTGCCGCTGTGGCTGGGCCCAATGCGTCTTCTTGATGGCCTGGTCAGGAAGATGTCTGCCTCTCATCCTCCACAAAGCACTTCAGGACAGCAGCCTCATCTGTTTTGTAGTATTCTGGTATAGGGTGAAACAACTTCAAATCATTTCTTGTGAAACGGGGCAGGGCATCAACCAGCCAATCAAGGATTCATCTATTTTTCTGTTCATCCATCCATCCATCCATCCACCTGTCCGTCCATCCATCCATCCATCCATCCACCCATCCATTCGCCCCTCCTTCTATCCACCTGTCCATCCATCCAGACAACATCCGTCTACTGAACTGCTTGGTCACACGGTGGAAGCCGGGGCCTGGCACACAGTGGGTACTCTGTAGGAGCACGCCCAATACTAAATGAAGAGAAGAAAACAGAAAGCATTCTTACCAGATTTCTTTTTCCCAATGTGCTCCCTGTACAGGAAAGAGCGGGGGCGAGCGATGAGTCAGTATTGTGCATTGACACGCGCTACTCCGAGAGGAGACCGAGATTCCCCACCCCACATCATCCGTGAATGAGTAAGACCCAAGCCAACCCCAGAGACCCAGTTGTCTTAAAAAAGAAATAATTTCTCTTCATTTTATTTTTGCCTGCCGAGTGCTCCGCACTGCTATCCCCATGTACTCGTCTGTGGTGGGTCGGCGGGATCTGAAGGAGCCACAGTCTGAGCGGGAAGTAGACCCCCGCTGCACCGAGCCTGAGGCCCACTGAGTCAGGCACGGCTGAGGGCCTGCGCACCTTCTGGGCTGTCTCGTGGGTGAAGCTCCCCCTCAGCTGCCACCTCAGGACATGCTGAGCTCCTTCCAGGTGTTTCCATCTAGAGCACCGTCTCCCAAGGCTGCCATCTGAGGCCTGGGCCTCCAGAATACGTGATCTTGGGCCCCTGCCCTGCCTCATTCCCGTTAGTTGCTTTTACTGTCCCAGCTGGAGCAGGGGAAGGGGCAGCAGGGGGATCTGGGTCTAAGCAGCAGCAGCAAGTGTGGATACAAGCTGGCACGTGATCATCTGTGACACCCTTGGGGTGTTCCCAAGTTTTCCCACCAGGGCAGCAGAAGCCCTCCCCTGAGAACAAGGGGCGCACTTGGAACCCACCATTTCCCCACCTAGAAACTGGTAAGAGCGAGCCCTGGCTTCCACCTCAAGCCTTGACTTGGGTACGAGCTTCAGGATCTGACCAAGGGGCCAGCCCTGCCAGGCATGACTCCCTAAGCCCACAACCAGGGAACAGCTGTGTGCCCGCGGGTCCCAGGGCTCCCCTTGGGCAACCTCCCCCCTTCTCCCCTTCCTTTCCCTTCAAAGCCTGGCTCACAGACGGGCAGGCATCGCGAGGAAGGCCCTGCCCTCGTCTTTCATGCGCTCTCGGCTTTACGGGCACGATGTCGCTTAACCCTGACAACCAGGATGTGGGCCAGGCTAGCCATGCCCTTTACTGTTGAAGAACAGACCAGAGAGGTCAGGTCCTCTGTCCAAGGTCACACAGCTGGGAAGGACAAAGAGAGATGACGCTCCGTCTTCTTCCCAGAAGCCTCTAGGAACCAGATACTCGCACTCCACTCTGAGGCTGGTGAGCTCACGTGAGCTCTTGCTAGTGTTCTGGTACAGCCTAGGCTGTGTTCTGTATTTGCAGTAGATGTTCTGTGTGTGTGTGTGGGGGGAACCCATGTACTCAGGCACCTTTCCCACCCTGTAAACATCTCCCATACGGGGGCTGCCAAGTGGCATGTTTGAGGCGCTGGACTCCCACATGGCCAACGGCAGTTTGAATCCTGGACCCAGCAACTTACTTTCTCTCTCTCTGTCTCTCTGGTCAAATTAAAAATAATAAATAAATAATTCTTTTTTTTTAAAAAAATATTATTTCATTTTATTTATTCATTTGTTTATTTTAATTTGACCAGAGAGAGACAGAGAGAGAGAAAGAGAAAGTGAGAAAGCAAATCACCAGGTCCAGGGCTCGAACCATGGTCAGCCATGTGGAAGTGCCAGTGCCTTAACCACTATGCCACCTGCTGGTCCCCTTAAAATAATAAATAAATAATTCTTAAAAAAAAATAAATAAAAGACTCCCAAGGGAAGGAGGTATTGATGTATTTTTCGTCTCCTTCCTAAGTGGAAAAATAGCACGCGACCACTAAACACTAGAAGGTGTTGGGACCAGCAGATGGCGTAATGGCCATGTCACCGGATTCCCACGTATTTGACCATGGTATAAGTCCCGGACCTGGTGGCTTAAAACTCCTGTCAGGCGCGTGTATGTGCGTGAGCAAAATCCTGAGGAGAGAGTGGGGGAGAAGGGATTGCGGCATGGCTATCCCCCCAGGAGATGATTTCTTGCTTTCTGTCTCTCTGGCGAGCGCATGTGCCCTACAGCAAAAATCTCTCTCTACAAAACCAAAAAACAGTATTTTTGTTTTTTAAATGAATACAACAATAAGATTTTTTTTCCAAATGGTCGGCAGGTGTGGCTTTAGAGAAAATTTTAGATTTGTACCCTATGCTAGATATCAAAATGAATTTCAGCATACTTAATGAGTAAATTTAAAAGAAAACCTAAACCATAAAACAGCTAGGAAAAAATGTTAAGAGAACGTAATTCATTTATCATGTGTCTGAACGGTGACCACCCTAAGCCTGGAAGTAATGGGAGGGGTCACAGTTAAAAACGGTTGTCAGATCTGACTTCACAAAAACAACCCTAACACACACCCTACAATCCAGGAACAAATTAGAAACACCAAAGAAAAGAATAAATATTTATCACAAATATGGCAAAAGTTAATCTCTATAATATTAATTTTTCAGTCAAATTTTAACTGAATACAATTATGAAGTACCCAGTGATGTAACATGCATGCCTGGAACTTGAAAATCAATACAGAAGCAGTGTCTTTGAAAACCGAAAGAAAAATGAAAAAGATTTTTCCCTTCCAACTCAGATTATTCTGGAATCAAGAGCCTCTTCTGGAACTCATGGCGAGCCAGCTCGAATCACTTCTTGCTCAGAAAATGCCATCAGCCCTTGGAACCACTTGAAGGCAGGCCTCGGCGGATTTTGGCCTGGCTTTTGCTGGTGGAGGTTGCAAGAAAGTCTGCGGAATAGACATGTTTGAAGAGGCTGACCTCATCCTTGTGGGTCTTTGTCCAGACATGGGGCGAGGGAGAGTCATCCAGAAGTCCCCGAGTATGAAACTCCCTGCCCTAGCCTTCAAGGAAGGACTCTGGCCTCACTGTTTGAAAATAAGCACCTCCACTGTGGCACTCAACTCTCTCTGGAATTTAGAACGCACACACTGACGGTTTCCTCCGTTGCGATTTCATAACAATCACATGCCCTAAGCATCTCGGCCCATACAGCAGGAGGAGCTATGAAGATGAAATGTGCACCTACTACGTGTCAGGCTCTTCCAGAGCACAGGGGGCTGCCCTAGCCTGGCCCTTCCATTGGTGCTGGTAAGTTAATGTGATACTTGCTCAGACGGTGGAGACCCATGTCCATCATCCTCACCAGGGAGCAAGCCAAGGGTAGCCTGGCATTAACATTCAGGAGGGACGCCCGGGCTGGGGTGTTTAACTTTTGGCCTATGCACGGGTCTCCACACGACTGAGGACTAGAGAGGAAGAAAGCCTGTTCTGGAACCTTGCAGTGATCCCTGGTCCTGCCCTCTCCTACGCCACCCAAAGTTAAGATCGCTGGGACACTGAGATGAAGAAGAAAACCCAGACTGAGGAACCTGGTGGCTGGAGGGTGCTGGTGTGTCAGCTGCGGCACGGAGGTGGGGCTGGATGTGTGCAGCGCACTCTGTGGGCTGGGCAGTCGGGTGTGCATGACGGGCACTGGGTATGCTGCCTTCCACTACAGGGACAAGGGACCTGGAGGCAGGGCTGTGGTGGACATTCTGGGTGGCTCGGAAGCCTTGTGGCAATGGGACCTGGGGCAGGTCCCAGCCCTTCTTCCCT